TAGATGCATCATCTATAAATGTTACAACATATTTTTATTTCCTAGAGACAGAGTCGCATGTAAATCACATCAATCACTATGAATTAATTCAAGCACAATGAACATATTTAAACAAATTTGAAAGGTTGTGATATGTAATAAAATCTGAATTTTTATTGAATAAAGAATATATAAAACAAAAGAATGTCTTCTATTCCAACCAAAAAGTTGATTCCCAAAACTCTAAATGATCCTTAAGACTTGCTACTGTAACCTATTTAAAGACTTCTTATCGGGCCCTATTGGCCCAATAATGTTATTATTAAATCCAAAATTAGAATCAAATATAAAATCCAAAATATTAAATAATTAAAGTGTTTCCAAATAATTAAAGTGCTACTATCAAACTAAGTGGGCTGCTTCCCTCTGGACCGTTGCGAGTAAATCACTAACGGTTGATTCTCTCAACGTTGCCAAAATTCGTCGGTATCAATTGCCTCCCTATGAAAGTTGCCTTCTTCCCAAGCCGGAAAGCTGACAATTGTTATTGAAGCTTTTCCCAAGTGAACCACGTTGTATTTTCTTTTACTAAACTGTGACTTTGACCACGAACCTCCGGCTCTCAATTTGGACCTGGCCGCTCTGCTAAAATCTCATTTGTCAAGAGCCTTATAAACATGTATAAACCTTCTATAATATTCTGTCAAACCTAGAACTCTCTGTTCCGAAGTTGAAGTAGGCCATGTTTGAACCGTATGCACCTTTCTAGGTTCATAACGACCCTTAATTCAGAAACAACATGGCTTAAATACTCTACCTCCATAAATCCGAACAATCACTTTATCTTGTTCTCTGTGAACTGATTCGAGTAGATACAACCGGAATAGATCATTCATCTTAGATTAGAATGTCATTGGTGCATTAGTGAGCCCGAAAGATATTACCTGGAACTTGTAATGTCAATTGTGCATGTGAAACATTGTCTTAGGCCCATCTTCCTCTCGAACTGGAATTTAGTGGTACTCAGAAAATAGGTTTATCTTTGAAAAGACCCATTGATCTAACTAGCTCACCCAACATTTCTTGAATTTCCAAAATTGGATATTTATTGAGCACGGACATCTTGTTCAGCTTACTATAATAAATACAAAATCTCAAACTCTTGTATTTCATCTTTACTAATAGCCTTGGGCTCGAGAATGGATTTAAACTCGGCCAAATGATTTTTGTTGTCAACATATCCTTTACCATGCGCTCAATCTCTTTTTTTTTTTTTTGCAAGTGAGCACAACGATAAGATTGCACGAACACTTGGCTAGAACTTGGTTGAAGTTCTATATGATGATCATTACCGCATATTGGAGACAATTTTCTTGGCTCAAATACGTTTGCATACTGTTTCAATATTTTCTCAAGATCCCTTCGGTTTGCATTGTTGGCCAAAATTATTAACATGGCTCATCAGGTCTCCATGCAACTCGCCGGTTCCACTACTAATGTCCAAAAGTCTCATTCCGTTGTTTTCAAGAAAGTTCGGAATGCCACCAGTGAGCGTGATAGGGTCGGGTCTCCCTGAAGGGTCACAAGTATATTTTCTTGGTCACATATCATTGTCATAGTTCCCCAATTGACTTGTATATCACCCAAAGTCTGCAGTGATGCAACTCCTAATATAACATCCATACTACCGAGCAAAAATACGTAACAATTGGCCAAAATATCTACCTTGACAATCCCCAACTGTACGGCCTTACAGACTTCACTACATGTCAGTCATCTTCCATCCGCAAGCGTCATTGTAAAGAATCCAGCATGTTGTATTGGCAATGATAATCTCCCCACCAATTCCTGTGACACGAAATTATGACTCACACAAACATCCAAAAGTATCACCACCTCTATTCTATTGAGCATTCCATAAACTCTAATAGTTTGTGTGCCTGTGAAGTCTACTAGTGAATACAAGGGTAGGATACATCCACTATGTTCCCCTTTTTTCCATGATCAGGATACATATATTTTTCATTAGGCACACATGATTCGGGCTGTAAGAATGTTTGCATCGATCGAACCATAAGGAATCCTCATGCTTGGATCGAAAGTAGTGGAACCAATTCAACGCCATTCCTTCCATGGCTACCCTTGCTAGCGATTTGTGACAATTTCCTATGACATCGTGTAGTTGAAACTGATGCTCTACCTTTCCGATCCAACGGATTGTATCAGCACCATCAAATATTGGCAGTGTTATGTTTAACATTGCTACCGGATTTGCGAAGGCTATTGGTTGACCCCCTGTCGGTAGCACACTAGGTTTGCGCTTATTAATCACATCTGCGGATCTTGTGGTATCATTACCACAGTCGTAAGACGATTAGTACCACCCTATAAGGCTGTCATCAACTTGTGAAATCGTTCAGTCATTTGGTTCTGTATAGTCCCTATCTGAGTTTGCATTGTCTTAACTATATCCACCTGTTATTGCATCTCTGCATGCGCTGCAACCAAGGCATTTAGGTTATCTTCTAGCGCGTTGAGACGACTGTCAATATCTCCAAAGCATGTCTTCATCTTCCCTTATGAGATCTGACAGGTCAGACCAATTGATACGTAGTAAAATATAAATCTTTATTGAATAAAGAAAATAGAAAACAACAAAATGTCTTTCATCCCAACCAAAAGGTTGATTCCGAAAACCCTATAATCTGATCCTTAAAACTTTGACTTTAACCTCTTTAAAAACTTGTTATCAGGCCCTACTATTATTAGACTCAAAATTAGAATTAAATATAAAATCCAAAATACTCAAATAATTAAAGCCTACTATCAACCAAAGTGGATTGCTTTCCTTCAGATCCACCGCGAGTAAACCACTAGCGGTGATCCCCCCAACATTGCCAATATTCGTTGGTATCAAGTTGCCTAGTGATTTTATTTAGGGTGTGTTTGTTTGAAGGATTTTGGTGGGTTTCTACTATTCACACAATTTTTTCCCCAAAAACATCAAATCAAATACCTATTTTTTATTTTTTATATTATACTAAAAATCAATTTTACGTTCAAAATCTCACATAAATCCATATTTATATCACATCATACAACTATTCCAATTCATTTTTTTTACTATTCAAATCTCAATCCAAAATCCAAACTCTCAAACAAACACACCCTTAACATACATATTGGATATTCATTTGTATTAAAATCTAGAGCAGAAATTCGATTTTCCTTAGGTATATCACACATTCTTTTAAAGTTAGCATATCCTAACATACATCTATCAAAACCTACAATAATACATTCAACAAAGTAAAAATTCCTTTGGTATAATAACCAAAGCCTACAAACATACCCGACTTTGATAGAATACATCTATCAGACTCGTACACTTGTTTATAACCAAAAAAATTTAATATAGGACCATAAACTAAATTATTTCGTAGTTTAGGTACATATAATACATTCAACAAAGTAAAATTTTTCTAGAAGTAAATTCTAGCACCATGTTTTTTTTTCACATAATTGGAGCCGTTGACTCAATTTCATGTGCAATACAGGTCTATCTTCGACTGGCTCAAAATCCTTAAATCAACATCGATCTTTGCATTCATGGCATGTAAACTCGAGTCAATCCACCAAGCAAATGAATCATCCAACAAGCCAACTTAGACTTTTTGTTGGATTTATTGTTGGAGGAGGCATAGTATTATTACTTTCATTTGCCTTTATTATCATTAAATTTGATGTTTCTTCCTCCACCGTATTTACGGAAAAGGTCCAGGGTTAGAATTTCCCTTTACATTTTCATTATCCTGTGCATGGAATCCTTCCTCAATGCATAGATGATTAACAAGTTGTTCTATAGAAAAATCTTCCCATTTATGCTTTAACATGCGTTGGAAGTCTTTCCATGATAGTGATAATTTATCTATAATACTTGACACCAAATAGATTCATCCATAGTCAAGCGATGTTGAGCAAATTGCCTTAGGGTACGAAGAAGTTCGTAAAATTTATCCATGACAGGTACAGATGCGACCATCCGGTAATTATTAAAATTACTCACAAGGAACGTTTTACTCGAAGCATCCTCCATCATGTATTTTTCTTTGAGAGAGTCCCATAACTCCTTCACAAAACCTTTATCCTGATAAATATCAAATAGAGTATCAAACATACCGTTTATAATATGACAACGATAAATGTAGTCATCATTCTCCCATTTGCATTGCTTCCTTGTCACCTCTAGTGTTTCATCCTCGGAATGCTCGAGATATGGTGTACTCAGTACATACACCACCTTCAATGTGGTTAACAGGAACCTCATCTTTTTTTGGCAGCGTGTTAAATCGATCCCTTCAAAATTTTCCAGTTTGGTGAATTTTGTCGTAATTTCTCCTACGGATTCCGCCATGACTCTTATGCAAAATACAACTTTTGATTGATGGGAAAATTTTAACCCGTAGGATAAAAAGAGTAATGACTTGGATAATAATGTTGTATTGTGTTCAAACACACTTTGCAAAGATTGTATTTCAATCCTACTATCGGGTATCACAAAATCAACTTTATGGGATAATACATACACCCTCTTTGATTTTCCAGAGTAAAATGAGTAAAACTCAAAATTATGATGTATAAAAAAATACGTATAAAGCATAATGAATCAAAATTTATTTTGAGTTTTACTGCAATGATCTAGAAGTTATTGATCTTTAAGTTGAGAGTCTGCATCCTATTTATATAATTGATGCATGAAATTGAGGTGTGTTTTTTCCCAAAACACTGCAATTTTTCAATAGGATGTTTTCACATAATTGGAATTCTTCAATCAAATATAATTTTTCAAGAATTGATGTAATTCTTCCTATATTAAACTGAAATTAAATTTATTAAATTTAATTAAAATTTTCTTTTCACTTGTAAAAATATTAATCTGTATAGAGAATGCATGTCTATACATTTGTAGATATAATTCATCCCAATTGAATTGCACTAATTAAAATTATCCAACACATATCTCGTCATCACTTCATAACAATTATATATAACAAATTAATTAATAAAGAAGCTGGTCGATTGATCGATGCATCGCAAACAAAATACATGCATGTTTAACTGCATACACACATAAGATATGTATATATATATATAGAGAGAGAGAGAGAGAAAACAGGCTGCTGGATTGGAGGAATGTAGTGAATGGTTGGTGGGTAATGACAGATTATGATGGATCATATCATATGAAGGCATCTGCAGCAAAGCAATTAAAGAAAAGGGTGAGAGCGACGAGTGATTAAAGGTTGGTTCTTTCGATCTATGCAGATTAGATTGGCATTGCACTAGTAGTAGAAATACATCTGCTGCTGCTGTCGTCCTTGCTCACAAAACTACTGCTGTCAGTACTGTCACTCATCGCGGTGGTGTCTGCAGGATGGATCTTTCTGATTCCCCACATTAGTCTCTGCATCAACTATATATATACAATAATACTTAGAAATTATAAATTAAAGTAAAGACCAACAATATATAATGCATGCAAATTAATTAAGTAAACAAGTTAGTTAGTTGTGTTCACTAGCTACTCACGCGCTGCAGCTTCAGCTTCAGAACCGGGCAGTTAGGGTCATTTGCATGCTTATTATTATAATTGGGTTTGCTGCAGTTTATTATATTATTTGCTGCTGCTGCTGCTGATTTGTGTTGGATGATTTTAGGTTTCTTAATTATAGTGGTGTGGGTGTGGGTGAGAGTGTGTTCCTCATTGTCATTGTCATTGTCATTGTCATTCCGATTGAACAAGTGTGCAAGTGTGGTTCTGGGTCTTTTCTCAATCATCACATATGGGGGGCATGATGATCCTCCTCTAATGGTCATGTGGATGAAACCACTCTCTGATGGTTGATCTTCATCTTGATCGTGATCTTGATCTTGTTTAGTACAACAAGTAGATGTAGATCCTCCACTAGTCTCATTCACTAGCAAATGTAAATGCAATGACGACATTATTATATCATCATCGCCATCCTTAATATTTTTAAGGATACCACTTTTATTATTATTGCCGTTGGTCGTCACAGAATAATGAGCACTGCCACCACCAACGATACCCTTTTCCGACACCCCATCTGCTGCACCAACTGTCACTATGACATGGACAAAGAAGATCAGGTATAAATATATATATATATATATGCATGATAATAATGAATACATAATTTAGATTTAAAATATTATATTAAACATGTGTTTTATATTTAAAGCATGACACTAATATATATATATATATATCATCTTCTTTAATAATATAAGTATATGTATTACCTTTGCAAGAAAACCTCCGATGAACCCAGTCCAAGATCTGTACACAACATTTAATATTTATATATGTACAAGGAAAACATATATAGTAAATAATTATAATTGTGGCAATAAAGCAAGGAATTGTATGTATGAAACTTGCCTTCATTGATTAATATATGTAACTGTATCCCAAGAAATGAAATGAGTTCGGTTGAACAAGATGATGATGATATTCTGCTGCAGCAGACGAGTTGAGAGTTTGGGGCTATATATAATGCAATGCAATGCTCACCTTTGCTCTTTTTTTTAAAAAAAAAAAAAAAAAGAATTTTGCTTTAGTTAGTTAGTTAGCAACAGGGTTTGCTAGCCTTTAAATTGAGTGATTGGTCATATATATATATATATATATCTATAAGTCACACTGTACATATCATATGATATATTTGGCTAAAATTACCAAATTAGATCACAAATTAAAGCAGATCACTAACTTAACTAGCTAGCTAGCTAGCTAGCTCCAACCTGCATGTGTGTATAATTTGGTGATTAATAATTATACTGGCCGAACCGGACCCATGGATCGCCATATATGGCAATGATATGATGTCAGTACTCTTCGACTTTTCTAGTTTGCATGTGCAAAGCCAATTGAGCCATATATATATATATATATATATCCCTTTCCCTTTTGGAATTCAAAGTAAATTTCCTTGTCAGTGATAAAAGCAAATAAATAATACCAACATTTTATATTTTCATAGCACATGTGGATCAAACTGAAACGAACTAGCTAGAGGAGAGGAGCTTTCTGTTTTCCAATGGTAAAGCTAATGCCAACGTAGGGATGCAAATCACCTCTGCCAACCAACAACAATAAAGTCATTCTTTCTTTTTTTCTTTATCTCTGCTTTTAAAAATTAATAATTATTCATATTCGCATGCACCCGCTATCCGAAAGTGCGCGCTGAATTTAACCACAATCTATCGATACTTACACATACTTACAGTAGTGCTTTCGTAATATTTTATTTATATATAATATATATTTCCAAAAGAAAATTATAATTAAAAAAAAAAATCTTATTTGGCAATTATTTGCGTGTTATTTTCCCTGAATTAATTTCCAAACACATGCAAAATTATTAACAAGATTATATATAATCAGCAGGATGGAGTACAATTTATTGAGTGCAGTTAAGTCAGTAATGATTATTGAGAAGTAAAAGCAAAAGGCATAGCAAGATGCATGATGAGTACTCAAAATAATTAAGTGGAAGGCGATGAGATGAGATGAGGGACCTCACAGCCAACTGGCGGGAGATATTCTGCATGCATGCTTTCCGTTTTTAATCAAGTGAAGCCCCACACTGCAACAACATGCAAATTCAATTCTGCAAAATGAGTGTAACGACTCAAACTGATTCTCTGCCCACACAGATATATAGCTGTGTGGAACTATTAACTACATATAACACATCATATTTTAATCATTTGGTACCGAAAATTGAAAATTTTCAATCGGATTGTTGTATACGGAAATCTCTATATTCTAAGTCTTACTAAGGCTTGATGAAATCAGTCGAAAAACGGCCAAGGTTCCTTAGGACACTCCAGAAAGCCCTAAGTGATATTTTGTGTGTAGAAATGAGATTAAGTAGAAAATCTGTCAATAGGAAGAAAAAGGAAAAATGTTTAAAAATAAAATTTCATTGAATTGGAAAGGAAAATACAAGCGGAATCGAAAATAAAACGGTAAAGAAAACAGATAAATAAGCGAGGTAAAATACTGAATCGTAAAATATTAGAAAAGTTGTGTTGGTCGGGGACCCTGTTGAATCACGATATTCTTGAGTTTGAAGAGTGAAGTTCACCACGCGAGACATCTCACGAAATGTTTTCCGACACGCCAACCATTAATCAAAAGAGATTGGCACTACCAGAATTTTCAGCCTTTTGTTGCGGGGAAAAGTCGATACAAATGCTCATTTTTCGACACAATAAACCTTTTGTGTCGATTTTGTAACGGATTTTGACTGCTATAAAAACTCGAGTAACAAAAACGTCTTTGTAACAACACTTTCCGTAACAAAAGGTTGATAGTCAACACCCTTATTACGCACATGCTAAATTTATTTGTAACAGGTCAATTCATTTTTTGTAACAAAATTATCCGTTACAATAACGTTGGTATTTTTTTCATTTTTTGTGACAATAACATTTTTTTACGAATGTTTCCATAACCAAAATAATGTTACAAATCTTCAATCTCGTTAGAATATGTATTTGTTATAATTTTCTACAGCCACTAACAAAACTTTTTGTAACGATCTAGCAAAAATAATAATATTTATTACAGTATTAATTTCTTCACAAATAGGATAATACCTAGTTTTTATACCCAATACATAAATCTTACTGAAACATACAAGATGATGCCGATCCGACGTTATCTGACACACCAAAAACATAAATACAATATTTTGTCCCAACAACCATGTTAAGACATATCCAAAATACCTATCATCCAAAATATTCACAATTCATACTATCCAACATCCAAAAAATATAAAAATAAATATAAGTACGAGGTAAACAGACATAGATGGTGTTTTCAGCAATTTTCCGGGAGACACTCAGGGGTGGCGAATCAACTGCAATGAAACAAAAAAATTGGTTATTTTTATTGATGCCCAATGAATTTAATTATATGTCAAAGAAAAAAAAATTAAAAGAACAAATGACTACAAAGAGCATAATTAAAAGAACAAAATAATTCAAACAAGTTCCGATAAGATCATGACAAAAATAGAACAAACAAAAAGTATCATTCAATACTAACTACATTCGATGATTCTAACCCTAACAAGAGCACAACATTTTAGATCAAAGGAAACAACCAACCTAGCCTAACCTAACCTAGACACAACACCTCTTCCTATTCTTGTTCCCAATCCTATGCCTCTCAAATTGAAAGTTCTTGCTATTCTTTTCTTTAGTTATTTTCCTAAAGCGAAGATGTCCACCGCAACTTCTATGCATAGTTACTTATAATGTTTTTTAATTAAATAAAACGGATGTGAGAAAGCAATTAAACAATTTAATATGATCTTTACATGTGCATTTGTGATAAGATAAGTTGGAATTGGTTGACTTCTCCTACAACAGCCCGGGTCTATCAAACCTCCAAACTACCCCACATTATGATGCACTAACCTACAATGTTATGATCCATGTGTCAAATTCACAAACAAAAACAACCAAGAAACTAAAAGTATTACTACCTAAGCACACTATATGTTCTTATTAAACCTATGAAACTTGATTGAGTCTTATGATCTCTCAAACAAATTAAACTCTGCATATAACACCCCGGTCGGCTCAAACCGAAGTGTCACCGTCACGCCACACCGAAAGACTCATTTATCAACAAACAGGCCCTACATTGTGGTGCTAAGCCTAATATAACTATTACAAGAAACTAATTAGAGATTTAAAATTAAAAAGCACCGGCTTATCATTTAGATAAATAAAATTCGAGTCAAAAGCATAAGTCGAAAATTAGTTCAAAACACATTAGTTCTTAAACATTAATAATGAATTTAAAAAACATTCTAGAAGATAAAATAGCTCTAATTTCCCCGATGAATCATATGACATGGACGCATCATTTAGGTATAACGGAAGCATCATGACCTACAAAAAGATTTGTAGAAGGAGGGTCAACACAACGGTTGAGTAAGTACAATTAATTGAAGATAAATTAATACGGTATAAGTCACGATTCACGTGTAAATGCCACTCATTTGAAGAAGATAATTTAAATAAAATGTCACATATCACATAAGGATAACTCACACACACAAGTCTTTTAGCGTCTCCCTTATATCTCCATTTTATTCTCAAGTAATTGTGATGGACACAACACGAAGAAAACTCCACTAGGCCTTAATTAGGGCTGGATTGACCCGGTTTTCCAACCTTATCACTTCGTATGATACGCCACATAATTACACATAACAAATTTAGGGTCACAACCCTCAAGAAAAGCTTCACAATAGGTACATAAGGGTTCGAAATCTAAATGTACACGTAAGTCAATTTGTTTATTAGTTTGCGATGGGCACCAAACGGCCACAACTCTCTAGTCTCTAATATAACATACCAAGAGGGGATTGTACGCAATCCATTCCTCCATCACGGATGATGGTCTGAAGACCTTTTCATCATGAATGATGGGCACCTCGGAATCACCCAAAAAGGGAACCCGCCATCTCGATCCCTCGGCCTAGCCTATTCGGGTTCTAGTTCGTGTTAGAAAATAAACATCTAATCAAATATGTTAGCGGAAACAGATAGTGAAATTTAAACAAACCTCCAGTCATTGCTAAAAATTAAATTTGTTTTTGAGATCTTTTTCTTTAAGCAAATAGTAGATTGGAACCGTGGGAAAATGGTGTTGCCAAACCCTGGAACCCTCCGGAAGATGTTACCAAACTTTGGAACCCTGGAAAGATATTGCCAGATCCTGTAACCCTATGATGACGTTGCCAAACCCTGGCTCTCAAACATCGATAGTATATTCTAATTTTCTGAGAGTAGGTTTAGTAACCCCTACCTGAGAGTATTTATAATTTAAAAGAAAAACGGTCTATCATGATTTTTTTCCATGTCATTTCACAAGCTCTATTTTCGATTTCCGTATGCTGAATCACTTTACATGCATTAATTGTGGTCTCTATGTTGTGATTTCTTCCTAATATGGTGTTCCGTACAGCTTCCTAACGCTTGTGTCTTGCAGGTTATGGAAAAATCTCAACGTGGTGCTGTAGGAGGGTCACAGGATCCGGCTGCCTCTCCCGTAAGACGTTTTACCCGGGCATCTGCACACAACAGCCCCGTAGAGGCAACTAATCCGGCTCGTAAAAATCCATCACCTATCCGCAAAACCACGAAGAAAGCAACGAAACGGAAGGGATCTCGGGTCTCACCATTGCTCCAGCGACTTTGCTCCATCACATCAGAGTGGGAGAAAGAACGTGATGCTCGTGCTCAAAGCAACAAAACAACATCTTCCACTCGACGGACAGTGCTTCAGGATTCGGAGGGGATTTTGGAGGTAATGTGGCTTCTTTACGGAAACTGGTCCTTATTTGAACTCTTAGTACAACACTACTATAGGCTGACGCTATTAACCCCAACAGGAATATGATGCTAGGGATATCCCATCAGTCCTTGAACCGACGGCACCGAC